TTTCGTGCGGCTGCAGTTTCGTGGGCCCCCAATTCCCGCGTCGCTCATCCGCGCCTTTTCCCCCAAAGGTTCCGCTTGCGCCTGGACCCCAGACTTGGAGTCAACGCTGGTTGACTCCGAGTTGACCACCCCGAACTAGAAACCCTAGCTGAGAATTTCGATCCCCCCCTCCATCCCTCGGTGGATCCCCTGTGCTGCCGAACATCGCCTTGGTTCGTGAGCTTTCATGTGCCACGTAACCCAACCCATCACTGTATTCCAACATATTGAACGATGCAATAACAATACGGAATCAAATTGAAAGAAACCGCTAAATGTCATACCAACAGGTTGAGAGAAGAAGTGTACAGTGTGTACGTACCTTACCAAGCTGTTTGGGTATCCCGTACGTCGCAGCCTCGGAAGAAGCAGAGAAGCGGCAAAGTCAACAGCCATCGACTTTCCCGCCAAAGTTGGGGTAACCTTGGGGTACCCTCACGAACTGTAAACCCTACCGATTGGTCAGAAATAGTTACGAGGGTGGGCGTTACTGTTGGCGGTTGTCGCTGACGTCGCCAGTGTTTAGAGGTAACCCGTAGGGAACCCAGTGGGAACTTGTGAGTTACCTCGTGAGGGTGACCTTGGGGTCCCCCTCGATTTCGAAGTGATTCTTGCGGTGTGAATTTTGGGATGGCATCATTGATCAACGGGGAGAACCTTGCGACGGGAAGTTGAATCAAGCGCATTCTGAATGTTATGTATATGACAGGAAACAACAACTATTAGCGAAGCCAAACCGATACCCATGCAATTTGACTGAAAATGGGACTATGGGGTCCCGTTTGCCTGGGTTTTGAAGGTTTTTCCACAAAGGCCCACAGCGCGTGTGTTTTTCACCGGGACTCTAAGCAAGAACATTTGTAGGATTCAGCATAGTGTTTGTTCACTCCTGGAATTCAACCATTTAAGTCAGGAAGTCAGAGGTCAAGACTGACGTTTGCTGACGTTAGCACTAGTTTTGGATGGGTATTAAGGACAAGGTACAGAAAACAAAGGGTATTACAGAAAACTCGCCAGTGCGGGGGCTGTTGTGAGATGCCGTTACGATACGATTTCATGGTTGTTTCGTTTCCTTGTTACTTATCATTCTGTGAACGTACCTTTCCTTTGCCTTTCCTGGTGTGCCACGAAAAAATGGAACTTGTACAATGCACGTCGTGCTTTCTGTATGAAGGATCTAAACGAGCTCATGAGAAGAAAGCTGCCATTCTAATTCAAACTGACTGAAGAAACCACCTGCCTCGCCAGCTTCGCCATGAGAATACACGACTTAAGTTGGCGACTAGAGCATTGTTAACACTTATAAATTACTGTATATGAGGACGGAGCGGATGCAGCGCTTTGTTGTGTGAACAGAAGTGATATGTAAGTCTATGGGAGCTAAGTTAATTGCAATTCTGACATCTTCAAGCAGCTGTTCAAGGAAAGGCGACTGGGCAGCTTGTGGGACATGAAGTAGATTCTGCGGCTTGTGAAGGATTCTGCTATGCTCCTTGCGTTGGGTTCCGACTGTTTGCTGCTGCTGAAATACACGCCACGCCACTAACCGTGTACTGATTCAGAAAAGTTCACGCTCCATAGCTTATTGTTGTTGTGCGAGAAAAGGCTCAATTGAAGAGTTTCATTGTGAATTACACTTCAAAGGGCTTGCCCAAGTGAAAATTCAGATTCGGGAGGGGCCTGCATTTCACCCGTGCGTTCAAGCGTGATTTTCTCCAGCCAGTACAAAGCTTCTTCTTGTCGTGCTACTCAACTGTAGTCTTTCTCACACGAATGACTTTCTTGCACTGTAGCTTCCGAACAAATTGAGATGGCAGGAGACAAACTAAAACAGCTCACAATATTGGATGCATGGAAACCGATGAAAAATTGCCCCTTTCCCTCAACTTCCTCCAACACCTCCCCCTTCCTCCTCCCTCCCCCCCCCACCCCTCTGACCCGACCCACCTGTGCAAAGTTCGTGTTTTCCCAGACACCCAGCCGTTTCAAGGTTGCCTGGAGAGGACACCAACTCCACCACACGAAGTTGAAGCAGGGTCCACACACCCACACCTCGGTTGGGGTTTCAAGGTCACCACCAACCTGTTGTCGACTCCAGTGAGCACAGAGAACCGTGAACTTCCGGGCAAACAAACGGGCATTTTGATGTTCTGGTTGAAAGATCTGTTCACCACAATGGTGGTCAGACCCGACATGTACGTTTACTGGGGAAATTATACGAGCAGTCACAATAAAGCCCGTTTTATCGCGTTAGGTTACAGGGCTATCTTAAACAGTCACAGTACAGTAGATTCTTATCGCGGGTGATCACAGTGCTATCACGGATGGTCACACCTCGCCTCTTATTGCTATCACGGTTGGTCACTCGATGAAACGATAATGATTAATTTGAAACCACAAAAGAAACTGTAGAGATTTTGGGAAATCCCAATATTGATTGCTTGTTACCTCGCGCAAGATTTTAGCCTGAAATTTAGGGAAATGAAGAAAACATAAGCCCCTATAGGATGGCACGTCATTCGGGAGGCATCAACCCTTCACACCATGCGACAAGGTGTTTAGGGTTGATGCATCCCGAATTAAATCCCGTCCGAATGGGTTTTAGTTTTTTTTTTTGTATTGGGAACAGAAATTACCCTTCGAGTTTTACCCGTCTAAAAGTGATATTCTTAGGAACACTATGCATCATTCGAACAGTTGATAATCAAATAGTAACAAGAATTTGCAGGTGTTTTTTTCGCGAGTTACCGAGAGTTGTCGCGAAATTATTTCGTAATACTACAGACAAAACGGCTCGCGCGAGATAACTTTCCTTGAATCCCTACAGTAAGATTCGAAGTTTCAACTTTTTTAGGGTTCGTTTCAACGAGTGACCAAACGTGATAACCCTGCGGGGCGAGGTGTGACCAAGCGTGATAGCGCTGTGATCACGCGCGATAGCAATGTACTGTATTGTGACCGTTCGTGATGACCCTCTGACCTAACGCAATAAAACTGGCCTAATTGTGACTACGCGTATAATTTCCCCTTTTACTGAGTCAAAGGTACAGTGCACAATACAAGCTCGCATTGAAGCCTGGCACTTCCGGGTGACACCGCACGTAAAAAAAAGACCAATGTACAGTAAATCAAGAACATGGATGGATGCCGATAACAGCCAAAAGGTTTCCCCGCAACCAGGCAATTCTTCTGATTCACAACAAAGAGCAGCATTTGTTGCTGGTTCTGTCACACTAGTAGAGTTAGGTCAAATCATCTGAACTTTGAACGCCATCAGCTTATCGTAACAAAGCTCCAGCTTATCATAAAAAGGCTAGTAGTAGTAAGTACAGCTTATCATAAAAAACCCCGTCGACGAGTTTCGATCTGACGGCGAGAAGTCGGCCAACGCGTCGATAGTCGCAAACGGGTCGGCAAAGGCGACACACCAGCGAGGTTGCCGAGTCGGTCGCTGACGGTACAATGACATCAACGGCTCGGCAAGCGGGACCGCTATGGAATGCAACGGTGCGATCAAAACCCAGTTGAATTCTCTAGTTAATGAAATTCCCCGTTTTTTTTTTTTAAATAATGATATCCGCCGGCGGCCCGATCCCCTGTTACCGTCAGTAGTATTGTTCCAAACCCACTGGCCGCAAGACTGCTGCTTTATATATCCATGTCGACTTTGGAGTTTCTTATATTTACTAAGATCGGCCGTCTCGTGCGACAGGAGGACGTAATTCTTCTCAACCACGTGGCGCGGCACGGCACCAGCCAATGGGGAGTTCTACAGGCATCCGGTCTGTTGCCGCGTCGCGATAACAAAGCGTGTTGCAACCGATTTATCGTTCTAAAGAGGTATCTCACATTCAAGCCGGAAATTCATCGCTCCATTGAACGAGTGACAGCCTCAGGCTGCTGAGCAGCAACACAATTCAATCGCAACATTACAGTGTTACGCCAGAGATATGTGTTTCCTGATTTATGCGTTAGATTCTATTTGTGTTTGGCTACTCAAATGTGCGATTCCGTGCTTCAGGAACTACCAGCAGAACCGCATAAAGAGTTCTCAAGTCGTGAAAGCCCTCCTGGTAAGACGTGTTCTCATGCTCAGAGCATTTTGTTTATGTACACAGGGTGGCGAATGTGTAAGCGTGCATTTTTTGTTCCTTCTTAAAATGGGATAACTTACTAATTATGTACTTTTCTTTTTTCCTCCACAGTCTGCACTAAGGAGTAACAATCAAGTGAAGACATGTCCTGGCCAAGCACGCACGATCCTTCTTCCAGAGTTGGCTAAAATGCCACTGACATCAATCACTTCAGTTGCTGACCCTGGAGCTGCAACATCACAAGCACCAGCGCGATCGTCATCACCACCTCCATCAGCAGCACTGAGGAGAAGAAACGATCAAGCCAAGACATTCCCCAGCCAAGCACACACTATGATCCCTTGCCCAGAATTGGCTAAAATGCCACTGACATCAACCACCTCAGTTGCTGACCCTGGTACTGCATCATCACAAGCATCAGCGCGATCATCGTCGTCACCAGCTCCATCGTCGTCACCATCTCCATCAACAGTACCAGCTCCTAAACAATCAGAACGAAGAGGATCTCAGCACGGCTTCCTTAAAACCGCCATGGAAGGCAATGCAAGCGAGAGGGGGGAAGATGGGGCAGTGCAAGGCGCAATGTGCGGTAACAGGACTTCTGTCTGCCACACTGAAGCTACCATTCCAAGAAGTACAGGAGATGTGTGTGAAGAGGCGAGCCGGAATGTTGGTGGAATTGTCGATCATCCGGAGATGGACCATTTATCGCTAACATCACGCGTCAACCAATCTGCGGCAAGCAGCACCGAATTCTTGGCGTGCTTGTTGCAAGCTGCTGCAGCCGTACCGGCAACATCCATACCAGCAGCACCTGAACCAACAGCGTCGGCATCCGAACCTGAAGCGTCGGGGGGGGGTGGAACAATGGCTTGCGGCACGCTGAAAAGACCATCTTCAGACCTGTGGAGGGCCGTTGACGATCATACGCTGATCTCATCAAAGAAAATCAGATCTTTACCGGAATTCTGGCACGAAAACGAGGATCGTGCGGTTCCAATCTCAGGCAAGGCGAATGCGCACCCGGGGAGCGATACAGGGACGGTGATTGTTGGAATACCCGAGCCTACATGGCGGACAGGGAGCTTGCCCCTGGGAGAAGACGGCCAATCCCAATGGTAGGTGCATGTACTGTCCTGTTTAAGAAGGGGAAGAGAAAAAAGGGCGCAGGCAACGTTGACAGAATAATGGGCCGAACGTTTTTGGTCAGCTAACCTTCTTGCTGTGTATCACGTTTAGGGTTTAAACTTGAGTTCTGAATTTCAGTATTTTTCCTCCTTTCTGTCTCTCTTACTCTGCAGGGCTCCATATGCTGGGCTGCCATGGTGTGAGGGAGGCTGCCTGCACCCCTGCCAGAGCTGCCAGGCAGCCCAGCCAAACCTCTCTGGGCTGAGACCAGATGCCCTGCTAGACGCTCTCTCCAGTGGCCCCCTCTCCATGGTAAACCTGCCCACTCTTCCCATTTTGTTTCTCGGATTACCAAGTGTGGTCTGGTTTGGGCTTGTGTGCAATGCTGGGCGTTCGTTTCTGGTCCCACTGTACTTGGTAAAGGTACATAGGGAAGCAGCTACACATGTCGCATGACATTGGAGCAAAATGCAATAGTTTTAGGAGTCGTCTCGTCGGTCTAAGGCTGGATATTCTGTTAAAAGCTCCATCTGATGACCCTTTCTCCGTGGTAACATGTACACTCATGTCTCTCTCTCTCTCTCTTTCTCTCTCTCTCTCTCTCTCTCTCTCTCTCTCTCTCTCTCTCTCTCTCTCTCTCTCTCTCTCTCTTACATGCTCACACGCACGCACGCACACTCACTCACTCTCTTGCCTGTGCCGATCTAACCCCTGCCTAACGTTTGCTCATCTTGAGTGATGTTTTCCCATGTGCTTTTCTGACTCTGTTTGTTATGGCAGGTTCTTTTTGGGTTTTGAGTGTGGAGCCAAGCTCAAGATGCACGGCACATCGTAAGATGTACAAGTCATGGGGAAGCCAAAGTACGATACTAGTAAATAATCAACATCCACAAAAGGATTTGTGTAGTTATATAATATATTTCAGTATCTAGTTTCCTAAATTCACCATCTTGTGTACATATTGAAATGTAACTGTCGTACCAAAGTGTGAAGCTACACTCCCAAGTGGTAGGCACCAAACCGGCGTCACTCGTATCTATTTCAGTATCTAGTTTCGGGATATAGTCATATATGGTTATCTTGTAAGAGCGTATTCCTGTCCTCCTATCAAGAGAACCTCATATCAACCTCCCACTGAAAATTCCCCTAAACCCAAAACATCTCGCTAGTTTTACCAGGCAAAAAGTACAATCTTGATATGGGGTTCTCTTGATCTGAGGATAGGAATACGCTCTAAATGGAAGGTTATGGGTGTCTTATAAATATGCTAAACAATCAAAGGTTTTGAAGTAATATGTATCTTGGGGAAACTTTGTACAAACCACCCAGGGTTGAGATTCACTGACTTTGTGCGATTTGGGTGCGTGGTGCGTGTGTCACCATCAGTATGGCACACGATTCTAGCAGCAATATTTTCCTGCAGGCAACAACATGAGGACGAGGAAGGGTGGCCCGAGAGCGTGCACAATGGCAAAGGGTCGACGGGTGACACACCTGCTTGAGGGATAGACGATGTGGATGATAACAACTGGTGGACGCGATGTCAAACTGCATGTTTGTGTTTTCTCTAGGCTATAGTGAGTTACCCAATCGAAACTTAGGCAAGGATGGATTCAACTATCGAGAGAGTTTTATAAGTAGGAAAACCCTAAGGGGTTATACCCCACAGAATCTACCCCACTACAGCCTACCAATAACTACAACATATAACATATATATGTTTGACACACCCCCATAGGCAAAGTGGGGGAGAGCAAGAGGTCACAAGACCAGTCAAGAAAGGCAAAGCAAGCTCAGGGTGGATCACAACGTCACCACACAGTCTGAGCACAGGCAAAGGGCCAGTCCACATGCAGAGGTATATATGCAGCAAGAACAGTACAGTGATCTATACCTAGCAAGAGCAGGCATGCAGGTATATATATATAGATCACAGTACAAGCAGAGTCTACAGCAAGTGCGGAAACGTAGGCACAAGACCCAACAAAGTACAAAAGCGCTGATGGTCACCAGACGGAAGTGCCTTGGTGAATGTATCAGCAGTGTTGGCCCGAGTGGCCACGTGAGCAAGGCGAAGCTGACCCCGCTGCTGCAACTCTCGAGCCAGGAAGTAACGCAGAGCGATGTGCTTCGTTCTGTGCTCCAGTCTGTGCTACTCACACAAGGCAATGGCGGCCTTGTTGTCGACGTACAGAACTGGAGGAGAACGAGGCCTCTCTCCCAAGTCGGTCAGCAGGTAGGTGAGCCAGCGTAATTCCTGAGCAGCCATGGCTGTGGCGTAGATCTCAGCCTCACAACTGGAGCTGAGAACAGAAGACGAGCGAGTAGAACGCCAAGAAACAGAACCGGAGCCAAGGCTGAAAGTGTAACCCTGTGACGACCGCTGCGTAGCCTGGTCGTCAACCCAAGAAGCGTCTGAGTGCCCAGTGAGGACAACTGGGCTCCGCCCTCCAAGCACGAGCCCCATGCCCGATGTACTGCACAAGTAGCGCAGTACCCTCTTCGCAGCATCCATGTGCTCCTTTCGGTGCCTACCAGGAGCCACGTAGCGGGCCAGAAGGCCAAGAGGGTACGCAAGGTCAGGTCGAGTGCAGGTCATCAGATACATGAGGCAGCCCACTAGCTCTGGGTACGGGCCACTCGGCTCTACGGACTCGTCCGAAGGTGGAGCTGAGAGCGAGTGGCCTGTAGCCAGAGGAGTGCGCTGTGGCGAGGACCAGGTGAAGCCGAAGCGCTGAAGGACCTGCTGCACCATGTGTGACTGAGTCAGTGTGATGGTGCGGCGTGCTCTGTCCCGGGTGATCTGCAAGCCAAGGTAGCTACGCAGCTCACCCAGGTCTGTGCACGTGTGTCTCTTCTGCAGCTCCGACTTCACCAGGGCGAGAGCCTCAGTGTCAGCAGTGGCAAAGACCAAGTCGTCGACATACACGAGGATGTAGAACGGCGGCAGCGAAGTGTCTGTGCGCGGAAACAGCGACGGGTCAGCAGTTGAAGGCGCGAACCCAAGAGCCGCAAGTGTCGTCCTCAGTGTGTCGTGCCACTCACGTGGCGCCTGGCGGAGACCGTAGACCGGCCGCCGGAGGCTCCACTGGGTACCAGGAGGGAACGACCTAGTGAAGCCAGGCGGGCGGCGCAGTCAGATCTCCTCGTGCAGGCTGCCCTGTAAGAAAGCTGTGCTGAAGTCAAGAGAGTGAAGCTCGTAGTCACGCTGAGCGGCAACGTGCAGCAGCACCCGAAGAGTGGTCATCTTCGGGGTGGGGGAGAAGGTCTGAAAGAAGTCTACTCCCTCTTGCTGACTGAAACCTTGAGCAACGTAACGAGCCTTGAAGACAGGCGGAGAACCTGACGGCCGCTTCACCCTGAAAATCCACATGCCACTGACGATGTTCGCCCCAGGAGGGGGAACCTCGTCAACGTAAGTGCCTGTGGACTTCCAGGATGCCATCTCTGCGTCCATGGCTATCTGCCACTGAGAGGAGTACTCACCCGCGATCGCCTCAGCGTAAGAGCGCGGGGTCGGGATGTCTGGAGCATCCGGGTCTCCCTCAGGGGCAAGCAGCATGGACACGAGATGAGGCGCAGCGGCTGCAAGACACTCAAGGTCCTCCTGCCTGTCCTCAAGGACGTCCGTGCCAAGAGCACACTCACCCCCGACGGACGGAGGACAAACAGACTCAGACTCAGCAACAAGACTAGCGGCGTAGTCTAGACGACAGGCAGCAGCAAAGTCAACAAGCTCAGCAACAAAGGCAGACGCAGCAGCAGACTCAAACGACGAGTCAGTGACAACTGTGGCTAGCAGACGCGTGATAGTAGATTGAGCAGCACGGGTGCGGTCAGACTCAGGCTCAGTAACGGTAGGCAGAGAAGACGCAGGAGGGGACGGTAGGGGAACACGCTGCGGAGGAGAGGAAGGACGATGAACTACGAGGTGGGTGCCGGGGACAGCCGGCTGACGCGAACGAGGAACACGGCGACCGGAACTACGAGAACGGACAGACGAGACAGGACGCGACGCAGGCTCACGACGCTCAGTAAAACCCCCTGTCTGCTCAGTGTAAGGAGAAGGAGCAGGCAGCGGTGAGCCAGGCTGTAACGGAAGACCAGTAGACGAAGGGAGACTAAGAACCTGGCGAAGCACAGAGTCAGGCGGTGGCTGAGACGACAGAGACGGTGGAGCGAAGAACAGGCGCGGCTGTGCAGGACCACCAGCACCAGCAGCTCCAGCACCCCCAGCAGCTCCAGCACCTCCAGCACCTCCAGCAACTCCAGAACCCTCAGCGCCAGCTCCTCCAGGACCAGCTCCACCAGCAGCAGCACCCCCAGAACCAGCACCTCCAGTCCCAGGGTCTCCAGCCTCAGTGTCTCCAGCAGCAGCACCCCCAGACCCAGGGTCTCCAGCAGCAGCACCCTCAGACTCAGCAGCACCTCCAGCCCCAGCAGCTCCAGTACCTCCAGTACGAGCACCTCCGGGACCAGCACCACTCCCAGCTCCAAGTGACGACAGCAGAAACACCTCCAGCGACAGAGCCTCGAGCTCCAGAAGCGCGACCCTGACGGCGACCGTACCAGTCCTGCAGTTGCTGTGAGGTGAGAGGCACACGCGGACGAAGGCGGCTACTCCAGGGAGACCGCGCAACAGCAGACTCAGAACCCTCAGCGCCAGCACCCGCAGCAACTCCATAACCTCCAGCGCCAGCACCCGCAGCAGCTCCAGAACCTCCAGCGCCAGCACCCGCAGCAGCTCCAGAACCTCCAGCGCCAATACCCTCAGCAGCTCCAGAACCTCCAGCTCCAGCACCCTCAGCAGCTCCAGACTCCGCACCCCCAGGCTTCGCACCTCCAGGCTCAGCACCCCCAGGCTCCGCACCCCCAGGCTCAGCACCCCCAGGCTCAGCACCCCCAGAAGTAGCACCCCGAGCAGGACCACCCTCAGTAGAAGCTGAGTCACCAGTGACCTCAACCGGCGCAGTCAAGGGAGGAGGGTCTACCTGAGACACACCTGAAGGAGCAGGACCGGGAGTGGGGAGGGGGTCTACTTGGGGAGCACCTAGAGCGAGGAAGAGCGGCGGGGGGGGGGAGAGGGGCAGTGCGGTAGGGGAAGAGACGGTAAAAGGGAACCGACTCGTCGAACGTGACGTCCTGAGAGGGGAAGACACGGCGCGAGGTGGGGTGGTAAAACTGCCAACCAGGCGCGTCAGGGACAAAGCCAAGGAAGACACAGGGAACAGCGCGGGCGGAGAGCTTGTCCGCGGTGGTATCGCGGACAAAGGCACGAGCACCCCAGACCCGGAAACGCGACGCATCGCCAACCTTCCCCGTCCACAGCAGTGTGGGCGAGGTCTCCGGCAAGGAGACACGGGGCCAGAGGTTGAGCTGATGCGCGGCGTACCGGACCGCAAACGGCCACAGAAAATGGGGGGCAGCCGCATGGATCATGGAGGTACGAGCGACCTCCATGACTAAGCCAATGCGGCGCTCAGCAACCCCATTCTGCTGCGGAGAGGCCGGAAGCGTGAACGACTGGGTGATGCCGTGCTCCTCACAGAAGGCTGCCAAGAGGTCGGAGGAAAACTCACCACCTCTGTCAGAGTGCAGACGCAGGACGGGAAACTCCGTCCTGAACCGCTCGCGGAGCTGGAGACGAGCAGCGCGGATCCAAGGGATCAAAACATCAGGGACCTCACCCTTGGTGCGCAAGGGGAAGACCGTGGTGTAACGCGTGTATTCGTCGACGACCAGCAGGAAGTACCGCTCGTGGCCCTGTCCACGGACGCGGGCTGGGCCCCACACGTCCA